TTTCATGTTTAGTTTGTTTTGCGACACCATTTGGTGCGCGGGTTGTGTTGACCACCGATTAGTCCATAACTTCGGATATAATAACACTTTGAAGACTCGTTTGCTTTGCGTTCTCACAGAAAATGGACACCAAATCAGACGAAACACACATTCACTGCATTCGCCACAACTCTTGCGCGCAGTCGCCGACCAATACGACCACTCATTGGCCAACAATGATGTCATTCTATTCACTCATTGGTCACTAAAGGTGTGGAAACGCCTCATAAATCATTCGTAAATACCATTACAAAGACGCTCTTTTAGCGCCCCTTAACGTTAGTTTGCGTTCATTTCAATGCATTTCGCGAAATAACTTTCAAAATAACGTTTTTATGAATGCGTTTATCGCTCGATAAGTAACGCAAAGTCTGTTTTTGGGTTTAGTTTGCATTGAATTAAACAAATGATTAATTAATCAAAAACTCATTTTCAATGCTATCTTCTATTGACGTCAATAATAAGCATAAATTAGTTGCCATACAATGCCTTTCCTATAGTGGGGGTCGGGTTTGAGGTCTGGTTCGGGTCAGTGGTTGTGTCGCTGCGGACCTCTATCTCAAGCTTAAGTTTTAGTGCAGTTTCAGTGCAAAAGTAATGCAATGAAAAGCAATGATTGCATCAGAAAAACAGTTTTATAAACGCTTTGTTTTTTGCTTACAATACAAGTGAATGTATTATTGAATGGCTTTTGGGCTACACTTCACTCGCGTTGTTATATTGACTCAGACATTGAGTTCAGGCACAAAGTTATGCTAATTAATAGCCAAGAATTGGCACTTCAGGCAAACCAACACCACTTTTGAGACATCTTTGCCCACAATTACAGTGAAAGCCGTTATGTGTTGAAAGTTTTGGACTCAAACACAGAGTCCTTCCCTAATGAGAGACCAAATCTATAGGAATATTGAATGAATGAAAACTATTTATAACTTATTTAATTTATAAGGATTGATAGGAAGGACAAACAATTAGTACATTCTCTCTGTATATAACCAAATGATACACTATTTGTGCACAATTTATGACGATTAGCACATGTGGACAGTTAGGTGTTAACCACATACTAATATAACTTATGTAACATAAGTTATGTTTCAATTTCCTCCCATTTTATACCATAATTATTGCAAATATTTTTAATATGATTGACGAATGTAACCATTTGTGTCATTTTATTATAAAATTTTAATTCTAACGAAAGTTGTAAGTTACCATAGCCAATATTGGAAATATTACATCAAATTGTCCATGTACCTAGAAAAGTAATTAGTGAAAGGTGGTCATATCAATTATTTGACAATTTATTTCAATATTTCTAAAATATGCTACAAATTTGAGCCATAAATGTGGTGGTAATGTAGAGCCAGGGGTGCGATAGAGTTGGTTATGCCTTTAATTGACTGTGATATGATTATTACATAACTATTACATCATATTTGTATAATTCATATGTATTTGCATTACATTTCAAATGCCCTCTAACTTCCAGTACTCAACCAAAGTTATGTCAAAATATAATAATTATTTTATATATTTCTAAACTACTATCAAATTTAATGAATGCAATATATTTTTGTTGCTTAAAATTAACGATTTGTTGCTTAATATTTATATCGTTATCTCTAATTAATACAAAAATAAAATTAATTTAAAAGTAATAAATAGTTTGAATTTCATTGGAATTGAAATGAGTTTAATTTCACACATTTTATGACATTAATAATTGATTTCGCATTGAATTTAATTAATTTACTAAATCTGAAAATAAGTGCCAATATTTAACAAATGCCTAAAAATAGTCTGTATTTTAAATATGTATTCAATAAATACTGGGAAAGAAAAGAGGTATTGAATGAAAGTTTTAGACATGCATTGAAGTCATGCTCTGCTTATATACGCGAAGCATAACTCAAGAGAAATAGCATTTCATCTGTTATTATGTCACAAATATTCTCTATTTTTCTTTTTACACAATTCTTCATAATATTTCATTTATTATAAACTAATTATAATTATTTATTTAATAAATATTTTATTAATTCACACGTTATCTCATTAACGAATAAACTAATCAACAATTTTTATATGAATTCTAAAAGGAAAACGTTTGACAAATAAATTTCAACACGAATTGAATGTTTATTTAGATTAAAATGTTTATAATTTTATTCACAATTCTTTGTTTCGTTGCAAACGTCTGTTTGGATCAGAAATTCAATGAAGAACCCAATGATCCAAATGACTTTGATTTTGAGAAATTGGGTTTAGATTTATCTTCCAATTCAAAAATATATAATATCGGAGCAGTTCTCACATCATCTCATAATATAGACTACTTCTTGCAAGTAAGGCATCGAAACCATTAAGAATTTAATACAATTTGCAATAATTATTTGTATTTTCAATTATTTAAAACATTTGCATTTCGAGCATTAATTGGTGGCAATAATGAGCTCTAATTACTTTTGAAACACTTTTTGCAGGCAATCGAAGATTTAAATGAGGAAACAGACGTCGTTAGCGCCGGCATTACATTCCACGGCTTTTCTGTCATTAAAGATTCAAATCCTATTAAAAATACACTCAATGTTTGCGAAAAATTATTCTCGTCTCTGGTATTTGTCATTACATATAAGAATTTAATTTAAATAATTATCATTAACTCAAAGAATTTTAAATAATTTGTTAAAAAGATTTCTGGAGTGGTGGTCGAGGACAGGGCGCCCTCAGACTCTATCACATACACCACAACCTATCATAACATACCGACAATTGGTATTACTAATCGCGAGGCCATACTATCGGACAAAAGTATTTACCCAACTTATGGCCGAACTGTGGCCTCGTTATCAAATCAAGCGGACGTTTGGGTGGAAATTCTGAACCACTTTAACTTCAATTGTGTTGTATTCATACACAGCAACGATATTAACGGACGACGGGTTCAGAAGAGGTTCGAAGTGTTGGCCGATGTGTCCAACATTAAGGTGGAGACAGTCATTGAATACGAGCCCTCATTCCCTGATATATCAAAACAATTGGAGGAAACAAAGACCAGCTCTACGTGTCGTGTGTTTATTGTTTACACCGATTCTGAAGACTCGGAGGCGATATTTCAACAGATCATTCATCTGAATATGATTGACGCCGAATATGTTTGGATTGTCTCAGAACAGGCCCTTATGGCCAAGAATAGGCCCACAGGACTGTTAGCCGTGAAGTTGCAAAATGTGGACAATATTGAAGGACACATCAGAGACAGTGTGTTCGTTATGGGATCCGCTATAAGACAGATGTATTCTCGATATAATATTACAAAACCTCCGTCTGATTGCAGAGATTTGGGTCAAAACCAATGGGAGAGCGGTTTAAAACTTTTTGAAATCATTAAAAAACAAACACTTTACTCGGGAAGGACTGGTCACGTGGTCTTTGATGAGAGGGGCGACAGAATTAATTCCGATTATGAGATAATTAACGTGAATAACGATAAAATCAATGAAATCGTTGGTCTCTATCATTACTCCGACAGCGAATCCAAAATGAAGTTCACTTTAAATGAAAGCAAAATAGTTTGGTCTGAAAACAGTCCTAATAAGCCGTTTGGTTACGAAGTGCCCAATCATTTCAGAGTCGTTACAATTAATGAAAGACCATTTGTATGGGTCAGCGAAGCCGATGCCGACGGCTATTGTCTTCCGCAACAGATTCCGTGTCCTCTCTATAACTCGACGACTGGAACCGAACATAAGTTGTGTTGTGAAGGCTATTGTATGGATTTACTCAAGACTTTGGCTCTTGGGCTCAATTTTACGTATTCTTTACATCAGGTCGAAGACGGACTGTACGGCGGCTTCTCTTTTGTTAATAATTCCGGGCGTAAAGTGTGGACCGGTTTAGGTATTCACTCTTATCATACACTTTATACTTAAACACAATTCTCATGTATTTGTCAATTAAACAGTTGGCGAACTCTATTATAACAGAGCAGATATGGTTATCGCGCCGCTAACCATAAACCCGGAGCGCTCGCTGGCCATAGAGTTTACGAAACCGTTTAAATATCAGGGAATAACAATCCTTCAGAAGAAACAGTCAATCCATAGACTCCGTCATCCGTTGGCCTCATTTCTGCAGCCCTTTCAGAACGGCCTTTGGGTGTCTGTGTTTGTGTCGGTACACGTGGTGGCGCTCGCCCTCTATCTTCTGGACAGATTCAGTCCATTCGGAAGATATAAACTTCCAAATTGTGATGTGACCGAAGAGGACGCTCTGAACCTGTCGAGTGCCATATGGTTCGCGTGGGGAGTGCTTCTCAATAGCGGTATAGGAGAGGGAACGCCCAGAAGTTTTGGCGGTCGGGTATTGGGTATGGTGTGGGCGGGCTTTGCTATGATTGTGGTCGCCTCCTATACCGCTAATTTGGCCGCTTTTCTAGTGTTAGACCGACCGGAAACAGCCCTCACAGGCATTAATGACCCGAGACTTAGGAATCCCAATCAAAACTTTAATTACTCGACAGTTAAAGACAGTTGGGTTGACATGTATTTCCGACGACAAGTGGAACTGACGAATATGTATACAAGAATGAGATCCATGTATCAGAACGCAGAGGACGCCATCGCTGCCATCAAATCAAGTATTTTTCTATTCTATCAATCATTTTAACGTCAAAATGAAAACTTTAATTCATTGTCTTTTCAGACGAGTTGAACGCTTTTATATGGGATTCGGCGCGTCTGGACTTCGAAGCGGCCAAAGACTGTGAGTTGAGTACATCCGGCGAACTGTTCGGTCGTTCGGGTTATGCCATTGGACTGACAAAAGGGAGCAGTTTTTGGACTAAGAAAGTGACGCTCGCTTTGTTGGGAATGCATGAAATCGGTTATATGGAAGAGTTGGACAACAAATGGATTTTTCTGGACGAACAGATCTGCGAAGAGAGGAGTGAGAACTTTCCGGCCACTCTTGGCCTCAAGAATATGGCCGGAGTTTTCATATTAGTAGGCGTCGGCATATTCGCCGGCATCGGACTCATTATCTTTGAAATTCTCTACAAAAGGCATTCAACGTCTAAACAAAGGCGCATAGAATTGACCCGAAATGCGGTCGACAAGTGGAAGGAAGTGATTGAGGTATCAGTGCTTTCGCTCTCTCTTCGCAATAAAGTAGTGAATCATAATTAATAATAATTTCATGTGAATTAGACCCGAAAAACACTGATTGAATCGTTAAACCAGAGCGCAAAGCAGCGACTCTTCCACAAACAGGGATCGCATCACAAACACAGATATAATCAAAGTGTGAAACACGACGAGACTTACTTCGAGACACCGTTAGACACAACGCCCTATACTGTGGAGAAGGGCCTCAACGCTATTAAAGGCGATTTAAGTGACAAATCACAAGAACTTCGACCGAGACTTAAGCGCGAGTATTCATTCGGCAGTGAATCTGAACTCAATGTCACGCAAATTGATCTACAATTTCATAAAACTAATACAAAGTCTTCGTTCAAAACTTCCAAATCTGGGACTTCTATTCCGAGCACTAATTATTTGAGTTTAGTCTAAATGCTTGCCATAAGGTTTCAAACAATTTAACAAATTTCTATATCTTAAGCAATAATTATTGATAAATGAAACCATTTTTTAATTTTACTCATCAGAGAACAGAACAGAATATACAAAGTATTTAATTGATAATCATTTACAATATAAATATATAATAAATTGTTTGCTGTTTTTTTAAACAATGAATTTAGTGCTAAATCTACTGATATTTATGTTATTAAAAGTTTTATGCAATTTTTACAATTACTACTGTATTATAAAATAATTATATAATTAGATTATATTCTACTATAAAATTAAATGATTTATGAATTAAAATAATATAACATTTGTTATAAATTAAAAGATTTAATCAGTGCTTAAATGAAGTGATTTCTTAACCTTCACGTGACATAACTCGACGTCAGCGCCGATGGACTGAAGATAACTGAGCCATAGAAGCTGTTTATTGGACGGCTTATCGTTAGGACCTTTCACTTCAACCGCTTTGATGTGTTTAGTGGTTGTATTCCAAACCAATAGATCCGGAAAACCACTTCTTGTGTGCCGATAGTCTTTGATAAGTCGTTCGCAAATATCTGTTATTATCGACGATCCAAAACAAGTGGCGATTTCCTTAAGTGGTATACAAAGTGTCAGTTTTCACAATTCATTCACAATTCAATTCATTAATACCTTAATCTGGTTTATGTCTGACTTTTCCCAATTGATTAGAGAAATGGTACCAAAGTTTGAATTCCAAGAGTTTTCCAATATATTATTCATTTCCATTTGTGTCAAATTTTTCAATGTATTCAAAAGTGATGTGATTTGTGTTTTGCGGCGAATGAAAAATTGGTCACAATTGAAGTCCAATGGGAAGCGTTGGTATTGGAAACGAAACGCGTCGCTAACATCACTCGTGTCACACATGTATATAATATCCCAAAATAATAGGACGAGAATTGTGTGATAAACGCGAGACTCGGTGTGAATACCATCGGTAAAGCCATTACTCTTGTAATGTTTAATAACAATGTCTTCGACACTCATGACAGTCACGTCTCCATTAGAATCAGTGGTTTTAAAGAAATTCTTTCTCTCGGTTTTGTCGTTAACCAAACATTTGAAAGATTCGGCAAATATTGTCGTTTCGTTGAATTTGATGTTTTCGTATTCAACGTCTATTAGACCATTATTTTTCACTGACTTCTGAATCTTTCGCTGCCTTTTATACAGAGCTAATCGATGACCCGTTCGGACAAAGCTATCGCTTAACGCCTTTTCAATCACCACCAGTGAAGACGTCGTGTCTTTCAAATGCTTATCCAAATCAAGAGCCAGTCTTTCAAACCAATAGCCTCTCATATCAGAGCAATAAATGGATTGATTTAAAAGGATTTCTTTTAAAATATAGACGGCTTTCGAGTAATTCTTCTTCTGTTCGTAAACCGAGAAACTGTGAGAAAGACATCGTATATAAGATTGACCGGCGGTATAGCGGCGTAAAAATGATGGCAAAAGTATATCGTATTCATCGCATTTGTCTTTAATGGTAGTCATATACATGTGTTCCGCTCTATCCATCAAATCAACCATATCTTCGCCTAAATTTCTCTTTTCAATGGCCGACAAGATTTCGATTTCCAACTTAAAGGCCTCGCTATAAAGGATTAGTTGGTCGCGAGTCTTGTAAATGCTTTCCTCTCCATTGATAACAAATTTGGGATAAACTTCTCGTCCGCTTTCGGCTTTCATTTGTTTGAAACTAAATTTAATTCATAAAAAGCAAATCAATAGAGAAAAAAATGCGAGTAAAAACACATACAATTCGTGACCCAAATGAGTGTTCAAATCGTCTTCATTGATGTCCGGCTGACAGAAGAGCAAAAACATGCGCTCGAATGGTTCGCATAGCTTTTCGTTCACTTTAAAACATTTGTCTTTCAAAACACTTCTGATCCTAAATCACAACAATAAATGTCAAAACATTAACACAATTAGCATTCAATTAACATACGATTTGAGAAGTTTTTGAGTCACAGAATCTGATTGTTTGTCTGAAGTTTTGATCACTGATTGACATGTGTTTATATACTTCAAAATAGCGGGTATTATATTCTTCTTAGTGTTCAAACCATTCATATTCATGCCATTCAATGAACGGCCGATTTTCTTAACCTCAATGGTGTCCAAAATATCCAATGATTCCTTCAAATCAGTCAATTGGGTCTCTGTTTAAAACCAATTCATATAAAATATTATTTCTTACAATAAGTTTAAAACCATTAATAAGTTTTGCAAACCATTGAACAGAAACTGATTGTCGACCAGTTCTTTAAGGATTGGCTGCAAATTCTCAGCAATTTCTGGATATTTGATGACATTTTTGCGGATCCAATGCTTTTTGCGGATAAAAAGTCTCATTAATAGCATTTGTGCCAAACCTTACAAATCAAATCAATCACACGTTTAGATAAGGTTTCTGTAAATCAAATCACAAGTAATTCTCACCTGAAAGACAAGTGAAGACTTGGACGACATTCATGTCGTTTGCGTCAAAGAGTTGTGAGTATTGTTTGTCATTCAATACAAAGTCAATCATTTGTCTGAAGTTGTGGTAAACATAGGATCCCTTCATATAAGAGTCTTCGTTGGAGTCGTCGTTCAACTGATCCGAGTCGGTGTCCATCTGTTTGTCTTTATCCTCGACAGTGAAATCAATTTCCAAGAATTGGTTCAAATCAATGAACTCCTCGTTGGAGACGTCTCTCAACACATCCACACATTTGAAGGCCTTTTCTGCGATTATCACCGATTGGTTCCCATTAGGAGTCGAGTCTTCACACCGTTTGACAGCTTTGTTGGCATTGTTTCCACTTTTGTTAAAATAGTCTAAAATAGACTTTTGTTTGCGTTTAACACTTGAATTCATTGCAATGCAAATCAATACTACTTTTCATTCAATCAAATATCAAATCAATTGTCTGTCAATTGAAAAGCCATTCAAAACAATGCAATCAATGTTTTCATTCAATTCATTGTAATCTCTAATGCAATACAATTGGCGCCTAAATCCACAACACGTGACAAACACTGCAAATACTATTCATATATCTAATGACACACTCTTTGAATGGCAAACCCTGTTATGAATGAAAAGTTATGCAATTTTGTTAATTATAATTATATAACTTGTGGTGAATTAAATTGTATTAAATATTTAAGTCAATATTTTTTATTAAAAATTAGTCTTTATTTTAACATTTCATTTAAAATTCATATAAATGTAAATAATGAGGATCAATTTATTCTATATAAGTTATATGACACAATCTGTTTTATCTTGATCATTTTACTAAATTCTGCAATTAAATAACTATTTCAGTGAATTTTAATTAATGTATTTTAAGATAACCAAAAGAGTAAATGTGTTTTTAATTGTTATTACATTAATTTGTATATTTTGCTAATAATGTAATGAATTGTTAACTTTAAACATACATTTATTAGTTATTATCAAAGCGTTCACTTTACATATTTTTACATATTTTTGCGGTAAGAGATATCAAACTCTAACTTAAAGATCTATCCGAATCATATAATAA